CCCAAACTGAAAGGCACTGAGAGAGAAAAATCAGGAGAGTTGATGTGGCGATTCAAGTAGTTGATGGAAGAAAGGTTAAATAGGAAAAGCAAGAAAAGTTTTTCAAAATCTAGTTGCATGACCAATATGGGTTTGAAAACCAACAGAGCAAAAATCATTTAAGAACAAAATGAAGAAATAGGGCAGATAAGAATTTGGACAGAATAGATATAAATTGCTCTGTTTCTTTGTACCAAGGATAAATACATGAGCTTAGATGAACGAACAGAGCTCTCTAGACAAACCTTTTCAACATGCAGAAGGCAGCAAAGGGGACCAGGACCATTACGGTGTGTCACGTCTTAGGATGCTTCCAGAATTTGTTCATTCAATCTGTAAATGTTTTGTTAATCATTCAGGTGCTGCTGCTGTCATAGATATGCAAAAGGTCCACATAACCCTTGTGTGGTTTGAATATAACCATTTCTGCAGTTAGAATGTCTACCAATTCATTCCTGTTTCCCCATATCAAATGGGAGGTTCTTCTACATGTGCTCATTCCATTCTCTTTTTTTCATTCTTCCCAGATTGATATACATTTAAGATATTCCAATGGACAGGGAATCAGGAGACTAGGAAATGGCTACCAATGATTTTATCTCATTGCCTCAATTTTCTCTTCTGTTAGAGGGGACTAACAATAACTATTCAACCTTACAAGGTTGTAAGGCTAAAATACTGAGTTCATAAATGTTGAGCTTTTTACAAATGGTTGCCTCTTTAAGACACTATTCTCAAACTTTCATGTGTCTAAGAATCACCTGGTATGTTTATTTAAAATCTAGACTTGTGGCTGCTTCATAAGCTGTTAAGCTTTGAGTTTGACTCAGAAAAATGCAGATACACAGGCTGATTCAGGTCAGGGGTGAGGGCCAAGGGATCTGCAATTTAAACAAGCATTCTAGGTTATTCCTGTGTAATGGAGGAAAAGAAATACTGCTAATAACCAGATACAATTAAAGAAGCAGGGGGAAGCCCACGTCACTCCTCTTTCTAAGCCTTTTTTCGCTTTACACCCTCCTTCCCTGATTCAGTCCATGTGTGGTTTTTTTCCTCCCTTTCCACATGCCATCCTCCTTTGTGTCTGGCATTGGCATTTTCTTACATAGTTAGAGCGGCAGGCACTCAGTTTAACGTGCAGAAATGGAATGGAGGAAAAGGAGGAGGGAGGGGAGGGATGTGGGTGGAGAAAGGTTAGATCAGTGTTCAGCTATTCTAACTGTGGACTGTTGTTGTCGGGCTGGTTCTAGCCGGCTGGCTCAGGGAGAGGAAGCCGTGGGGACAGCTAGATCCACTACAGCTGACATTGCTGTTCCTTATTTGCTAGTATAGGTTCTGACCTGACACCCACTACCTTTTCTCCAGCCACGTGAATTTTACAGTAATCACATTAGATTCCCCCAAAGAACACTGTTTTAAGTACTGATAACAATCCTGGATTCATTGTTATTTACAATTCTCCACTTTACTACTTTGAGGCCTTTAGTTTTCACCAAATCCCAGCTTGTTTCCTTGTCTTTAAACCCAGAAGGAAAAGATTTGCACCAGATGGTGTGTATGGAGTATTTAAAGACTTTTGCTTGACGCAATAATAGGTGAGTTAGCTTTTCTGGCTGCAGTAGATACACAACAGTACAACACAAGTGGAATCAGAGGCATGGGGTTGGTTGGACCTGGGCAGCTTTGTTAGGGGAGATTATTTTCAATCCACCCTCACTTTTTCCCCCTAGTATCTTCATATCGTTTGCCAAGAACTTTTAAAAATACTTCTGGCTGCAAATCCAGCTTTCATATTCTAACTAGTTAATCTGACTGGTAATTAACTGAAATATCAAGATAAAGTAGTTAATTCTAACATCTCTGTCTAAATCACGGTTTTTGGCTTGTCTGCACATTAGAATTCCCTGGAGATCTTTAAAAAATTTTGTTTCCTGGACCCAAAACTCAGACATTCTGATTTAATCCGTTTTTAAAACCTTTCCATTGATTTCTAACGTGTCTAGAAAGAAGCAAAAATCTGGAAGTATTTTTGGTTTAGGCAATGGATGCATTTCAGTTTTGTCTCAAAGATATTATAGTAGCAGGGATAGCCTCACACTCATAGAGACACAGTATGTATGTATAACTATTTGGACTCCTACTGCACATATCTAAACATTGCATAGCTTTGATACTTTACTGTTTTCGTATCAGTTAGTCTTGTATAATAATATACCAGTATTTACTGAGCACTTACTGTACAGGGGTTTATGTTTGAGTCACTTCATTAATCCTTATAACCTAATGAAGTAATTAATCTTCATTTTGTTGATAAAACTGGGGCTTATAGAGGTTAAGCAATAATCACATGCTGCTAGTAAATAAAGCCAGATTTCAAATCAGATTTATCTGATGCCAGAGATGCTAGGTTACTTATGTCTTCTCCAGGGATTCAACTGACTCCTACTGAAGAATATTAATTTACTGGTTAAAAATGAGTTTTATATGATTAAACCAAGACAAGCACTTAAAATACTTTTGAATACATACTGTTACCCAAAGGAGGTGTTGTGAGTCCAAACATGTCTAAACATACCAACCATAGAAGCACAGACTGTGATTAAATCTAAGAAACTGAGCCTTTTTGTACCTTGCTTTCCCATTATGCAAATGCCAAAAATAATTTCTGCTCTCATTGCTTCATATAAAAATATGAAGTAATGATTTTGACCATTAATTTCCTAAGTATTGTCTTATATGATGACAGCCTGTTTAAAATAAGCCATATCATTGGCTTAAAAAAAAACACATAGTTTTGTTTTTGTTTTCTGGCAGTGCTGCTTAAATGAAAAGCAAAGCTGTTGTAAACATTATGAATTTCTTGTGAGTCTCTACATGTCTAACTATATCAACCAGGAAAGCACAGGCTATGATTAAATCTAAGAAATTGAACCTTTTTGTACCTTGCTTTCCCATTATGGAAACGCTGAAAATAATTTCTGCTCTCATTGCTTCGTACAAAAATATGAACTAATGACTTCAACCATTAATTTCCTAAGTATTATATGATGACAGTCTATTTAAAATAAGCCTTATCATTGGCTTTAAAAACACACAAAGTTTTTTCTTTTTGTTTTCTGGCTGTGTTGCTTAAAAGAAAAGCAAAGATGTTGTAAACCTGAATTTCTTAGGATGTGTCTAGCATATAGTGACAGTACATTGAATGAAAGCTTTTTTTTAAAAAGAGACAAGTGGCGGGTGAGTTAGACAAATACTCCCTATCCGCAGTTTTACCAAAACAACCTGCTTTTTCTGGGTGATGCATGGTTGCTATGAGTTGGATTCCTTAACAGTGGGATTAAAGGATAAACTAGGTATTACTGATCCTCTGCAGAGTAGGTCATGCACACTTTCCCTCTGTCAATTTCACTCTATCTTTTGTCACATTCTCATTGTGTTAATATCTCTGTGATCAAGCTCCTCTGATCACAAGATGGGTCTCTTTTGTCTCTACGGTAAATATACTCTATGTTCCAGGAGACTGAATATCAGACTGGAAGTAAATAGCAACATTTTAGTTCTGTAGACTTTTCCTCCTTTCTTCTGAAAGTGTATCACACATCACACTCGTTCCAGTAAATGTGTTGTGAAAATAGTTCACTATCGTAGGTTACGCTCAGTGGCATAACATGTAACAGGAGTAATGCTTACCATAGAACTTGGTTTGTGTTGGTCATTAAGTCTTGTATACTTAACTCATTTACTCCTTATCACAACTCAATGACATAGGTGCCTTTTATAGTTCTTATAAAATATTTTTATAGTTAACATTTATAGTTGAGCAGACGAAGATGTACAGACGTTAAATTATTTCAGAAGATCAAATAGGTGAGTGGAACTAGAAATCCAATTCAGTCCAGAAATTAATCACTCTAGATTATGCTATGTCTCTTAAAGGACTCTGGGCAAAACAAACAAACAAAAAAAAAACAGACCTAAAAGGTTGGGAAAGGAGTCCTGAAAATAACTTGTTGCCTGAGGCGACTGAGGAGGGCATGTGACCTGCAAGAAGGCAAACTGGTTCAGACATTGTTTTTTCCATTTGGGATCTTGCGGTGGTAGTAAATGCGTCAAGTTACTTGGAAATAAATCTTCCGTGTCCAGTAGCACAGTCGTTTGTTGCCTTTGGTTTTATTTTTCATTATCTAGAAACACTGTTAACAGAGTAGCAACGTAGTTGAACATATTCATACACTTAGCCTCCTTTGGACTCTAATTTTCCTATAGAGCTTGGAAATTTACAAAATGGTCTTAAATATATTACCTCATTCTCAGAGCAGCCTTGGAATATAACTTATCTTTTCATAACAAAGCCTCGGAGGAAGTTAAGTGATTTGTCCAAGGTTTAGGCCGGTTTCTAAGGCAGGGCTGGCTGTAGCACACAACTCTGCCTAGATTTTTTAACCTGCTGAAAGCCCCGGGAATATATGATATAGTTTAACAATTTGCCTCACAATATATGGAGGCATTGTCTATAGTCCGTATACGGAGGACAGGTCTTGGTGATCTTTGTTCCCAAATCTTTGAGACCCTGAGGGGAGAGCCCAGGCTTCGAGTGGCGTCTGGGCAGAGGCCGTCGGGAAGGCGGCGTGGCCGGCCGGCCGGCTGGGTGGAGGCCCCGAGGCGCGGACACGCCAACGGCACGCTGCGCCCCGGGGGCTCGCGCCGGGGTTCAAAGCGTGGATGAACGGGCCGGAGGAGGGAATGGGGGGCGCGGCAGGGTGTGCAACGGAAGGAATAAACCGCGCGGTTTCGAGCTGGAAACATACCTCACCCCCCTCCCCAACCCCCACCCATTTCCCTTTCTCAGTGTGGACGGTTTGGGGGCGGATGGGGAAAGCGCGTCCTTGAAGCTCTCTCGCGCTCCCGTACTCCTCCCAGCGTGCGCGCTCTGCTGCCTCTCCTCAGCCCGAGAGGCCGGCGACGGCTGCGAGCGCGGAGGGTGAGCCCGGAGGGCGGGTCCCGCCGCAGGTGGTAGACCCGCCAGGCCGGGCCCCGCTTCCGAGCCCTCCCCGGCTCCGCCGCGATGGGGGGGCGGGGCCGGGGCGCGCGAGGGTCTTCCGCGCGCGCGCCGCACGCTCGCGCTCGGTCTAGGGTAGCGCGGGGCGGTCTCGGCCGGCGGCGCGCGCGCTGGGTGTGAGCGGGGATGCGCGCGCGCGCACGGCAGCCGAGCGAGGGAGCTAGAAGCGGCCGAGTGGGTGTGTGGGAGTGTGTGCGTGGGAGTGGGGAGAGGAAGAGCCGGGCCGACCGCGAGGCTCAGAAAGGGGGCGAGTGTGCCCGGGCGCCCGGCCTGGCGGCGGGAGCCGCGGCGGCGGCAGCGGCGGCCGCAGAGAAAGGAGGCGGCTCCTGGCATCCCGACGCCCTCCCCTCCTCCTCAGACTTCCAGCCGCCCGGCGGCCCGCGTTCCCCTCAGAGGCCCTGGCCCAGCTCAGCTGGCTGCGAGGCGAAGGAGAAGCCGCCCGAGCCAGGTGAGCGGTTCGATCGCTGTCCCCACCGCCGGAGGGGCGTGAGGCAGAGGCGCGCCCTTCCCCGACCCCCTTTCACGGGCCCGGACGCGACTGAGCGCACCCGGGCTGGGCGAGGAGGCCGGTGGTCGCTGCGGGGCCGGGGGCGCGCGAGTGTGCGGGGCGGGAGTCGCCCTGGCGGGTGCGTGAGCCGGAAGAACCGCTGCGAACGGCGACCTCAGCTGCGGAGTAGGGGCGCCCCGGTTGGGGGGGCGGTGTGGTGACCCTGGGAGTGCTCGTTGGAGTAGAGCGTGCGTTGTGCTAACCTGTCCTGGAAAGTGGTGGTTCGTGCCGCCTCCGCTTCCATCAGACGAATCCCTGTGGTGTGACGGAGGGAAGAGGATGTGGTGCAGTTCCTATGTTGTTAATTCCACGTTTTCCTCGCTAAGTGTGAATTGTAGAGTGTGACAGTCATTCCTCTCTTTCCTTTGACAGCCCTCTGAATAAGAATGGGGTGAGAAGATAATCGTTTGTCTTGTTTAATTTTAATTTTTTAAAAGCATTTGACCGTGATGCAAATCTTACCTTCCACTCACCCCCACCTTTAAAAAAACCCAACATAAGGGACAATAATCTCAGGTTTACCCTAGTAATGAATCCTTATCTCTGATAGATTTGTAATTCCAGTATTTTATCCCATTTGTATTTATGCATAGAGATAGGGTGGTAATTCTATTCTGTGAGTGGGCTGTTATACTGTGTTGAATGTAACTTCCATATAAAATCTTTGAACGTGCTGTTATTTCCCCATTAATTACATAAATTGTTCCTACATCTTTGTGGAGTTGGGTTAAATTCTAAATCTGTATGGAAATCATGTAGGCAGCCTAATAGGAAAGATTTTCCATTTTTGTGGGCTTGATGTATTGTATTTATGGACGTTCTTAGTTATTAACTAACCATTCAAATTTAATGTTAGGTAAATCATTTCACAACATTGTGTAGTTTAAATGTCATCTTTTCTGTGTGTGTGTGTGTTTTGTTTTTTAAATTCTTAAACAGTTCATTGTCAGATACTTTAAAGCTATTCATTGGGAATAATTGCACTGTCTGAAAGTCTGAAAGTGCAGGCATGGAGATAGAACATTTATTTTCTAACTTTTAGAATAAATACCTCTGATTTTTAAACATAACGGTTAAATTTCTTTTCCAGTGGTTACTGGGTGCTGTTTTAGTGTGTCAAAGGGGAGGCCTATTTTGTATTGAGGTAATCTTTTGTTCATTCCTTTTTATCTTGGTTAGTGCTGTTAATTTAATTCTTTTATGTCATAGATGCAGTTGTTAGTTTGGCAATGTGGCTAATGATGCTTCTCTCTCTGTCTCCCTTTTTTTCTCTCAGACTTGTCTTCTCTTACCCGCACCAGGTGCTGGAGTCTGCTTGTTGGGAAGGGGGGCAGTCTATAATTCTGAGAACAGAGAGCCCGGAAGGGGAACAGCAATAGTCACATACAGTTCTCCAAAGAGCCACTTTTCCGTTCCCACCTTTCCCCTTCCCCCCTGCAGGGGGATTGAGATGTATATTTAACCTTTAGACTTTTGGCTACCAGCTAAAATTCTTCTTAGTTTCTTGTGGATTGCTTTTGAATTTTTTCTCATGTTTCATTAGGGTTCCTCTTGAATATGATAGCATTTGGGGGTTGAGGGGAAAGTGATAAGAAATTACCCTTTTCATTCAGTCCCCTTTTCCTCTCCAGAGGGAAATTACCAGCAACATCTTAAAAATCCTCTACCCATTCCCAGCTATATTGTGAAGAAACACAAGTGAACGTTTGTTTTCCTGTGGACCAGTGAACATCAGCCAAGCTTCAAGCATTGGTTTGTTGGGGCCCAGAAAGAAACGTATCTTAAATCTCCCAATTCTTCCTTTCTCCAGGTTGTATCCACCTGGGATTTGCTACTGGGGTAAGTTACTAGATTGTTTTCTCGAAACTTCTCCCCTTTCTGTGAGCTGGGAGACTGAACACCATAAACCCTGGAAAGGCTTAGGGGAAAGGTACAGAGCAGACAGTTTGGGAAGTAGCTTTTCTCTTCCTCTGGGGAGCAGGTGAGAGACCTAAACTGAGTTAATATGGATGGAGAAAGTGCTTCTATACCCACAAACGACAAATAAAGAGGGAGAGAAAACCAAGCTAAGGAGAGGGTGAGTTTTACTGTAGGTTTGCTGACATCTGTTTTTGGGTATACTTTAGTGATGTGGATTTGTAGACAGATTGTGGCAGGTTAGTTTAAGGAAGTGTTCTTTGCAAGTGGGATTAAGTTGTAAGCATATGAGAAAGAGCCTTTAGAAATATAATAGTAATTTTAAAATCTGAGGGTGTAGATTGGGATAGGAATAATGAGAAAAGTGTTATTTTTAAATGTTAGCTTTACTGGCATGTGCAGTTGTTTCAGCAGAGGTTGAGTAGGGGAGATTAGGTACAGATGTTGGAAAAATTCTCTCTCATTACTTGGGAATTTTGCTGCTTGTCATATTAAGAATTGTTAAGAAATAATGTAGTACTTCCAAAAATATCTGTAGATACTGTATTTTAGATTCATGTGCCATATGTATCTGTGAACATGTTAGGTTTGTAAAAAAAGACTGACTTTCTGGCTTCATAGTAACTAATGCCGTAGTGTTATTTTCAGTGTTTTCTTTTCCAATGTTTTCTTTTTCCTTTCAAAATTGGCTTGGAGGACAAAAGCCACAGAGCCAGCCAGCTCTTCTCCCTTGGAGCCTGGTCTGCATGGAACCCATCTGCTTACATCTTTTTTCCTCCTCTTAACAAAATTGTTTTTTTTTTTTTTTACTCCTAACTTTAATTGTTAATGGAAGTAGTTATTTTAGGATCAGTTGTATAATGATGATAGACAGTAGCATTAGGTTTGGATTGTTTATTTTTTATGAGAAGTTGAAAAAATAAACTATGAATTTTTGACAGCTATTTTTAGATCTTACAGGGTGCTCATTTGCCTGGTATTTAATACTGAAAATAGCTATGGTTTTTGATACTCCCTTATGATTCAGTATAGCAAATTCCTATCAAATAACTCTTAACTCTTAGATTTTTTTTCTATCATATGTGAATGTCCACTGGAGATAACAGCAGGGAATAAAACCAGTTGGGATTCTGTTTTTATGAAGTTCATAGTCTGACTAATTTTGTTGATATCTTTACTTTCCATCTGTTAGTCAGTGCTCTCTTCAGTGACTGGAGGAGTCTACTAGGTTCTTATAAAATGTGAACCAGTTTGTGAGTTGAATTAACAAAACAAACTTGTGCAAATGATGATATACCTAAATAATTTTTTACTACCTTTCTTTCAAAAATGGCAGGACATTGCCAAGTTATGATAAAAAAATTTTATCCAAGCCTATCTCTTAAACGTTGTTATGCTATTCAGTTCCTTACATTCCATTTCTTTTCTCTCTTTCTTTTTTTCTATGCAAGTCTGCCCAAATTGCAGCCTTGGAATTCTTCCATGATGCTTTGGAATTCTCAGTTGTTAGCTTATTCCTTTGACCTGTGATTTAGTTAGCCATATTTATAAAGCCTTCGTCTTGAGTTTATTAATAGCTTCCTAACTCCTTTTTTTCAAACCAATGTCCTGAAAGAAAACTTGGAAAGAAGGCCCAACATTTAACATGTTAACTTTGAGCTATACTGTGATTGCATCTCAGGAACATTTTTCAAGTTTTGTACCATGTTCCAGAGATATTTTGGTAACATTCCTCTATTAAGTGAAATCACTAGAAATTTTATTTGGATTCCAGAGAAAACCTTTTTTTTTTAGAAAAGTTTAATAGGTTTTATATACCAAAGACTAATTTTGGAATTTTAGTAACTAATGTACAAGTAATTGAAGTAAAGGTAAAGGTTTTCTTTCACCTTTTGTTTGACAGTGTAAAAATTTGCATGTTAATTTGCTCATCACATTTTTTTTCCATCTCCACTTTTCTTCTTATTGTGGTAAAATACAACATAAAATTTACCATCTTAACATTTTTAAGTACACAGGTTAGTGGCATTTAAGTAGCATATTGTTCTGTAGCCCCCACTACACCCACTTCTAGAACTCTTCCACTTGGAAAATTGAAACCCATACCCATAAAAATAACTCCCCATTCCCCTAACCCCAACCCTTGGCAACAACCGTTCAACTTTCTGTTTGCTGTAGATACTGGAGCGTAATGTTCCCAAGGTTCATCCATGTTGTAGCATGTATCAGGATTTAATTCCTTTTTAAGGCATTATATGTATATACAACATTTTGCTTATTTATCCATCGATGGGCACTTGGGTTTGCTTCCACCTTTTAGCTATTGTGAGTAATGTTGCTATGAACATGTATGTACTGTGAGACTCTGCTTTCACTTCTTTTGGGTATATACCTAAAAGTGGATTTGTTAGATCATAATGATAATTCTGTTTTTAATTTTTTGAGGATCTGTTGTTCATAGTTCCACTATACTATTGTCCATAGCAGCTGCACCATTTTACCTTCCCACCAGCAGTTTGCAAGACTTCCAGTTGCTTTAGATTGTCCCCAACATTTATTAGTTTTTTTCATAGTAACCATCCAAATGTATGCAATGTAGTTTCATAGTTTTGATTTTCATTTTCCTAATGATGAATGATGTTCAGCATCTTTTCTTACTCATGACATTTTAACATCAGATCATTTTTAGCTCTATGAGGACTGGAACTTAGTTTATTTTGTTTACCATGGTATCTATAGGTAGAATGCACAGTAGGCACACAAATATTAATTGAATATAATGCTTAAGTGAATGTTTAGCCTGTGTATTTTGTAGTTCTCTTAGATTCTTAGGTTACCTGAGATTAAGACTGATTTTTGACACTGAAAAGTCCCCTTTTTGTCGGGGGAGAGGAATATAGAAATACTCTTCCAGGGATGTTGTGAAAGTAAATGTAAAAGTGAAATGATCAAATGTAAAAAAAATCTCTTTTATAAACAGTGCCACTATTTGCTGATATATACAAACATTGATGTCAAGGGAATAATTTCCTCTAACTTTGATCAAGTTATGATAAAGCATATTTGTTAAGGTAAGGGTCAGTGGTCTGTAATAAAGAATTCCCAAATATCATTGACATAATGAGATAGAAGTTTCTCTTTCTCATGCTGAAGAGGTAGTAGGCAGTCCAAGGGCACCGCACTACACAGTTGTCAGGGATTCAAGTTCTAACACGTAGCTGTGCTTTTTTCCTAGGACTGATGCCTGTCCACACAGTCTTGGTGGTTAGAGCTGTGGCCATGACATCCACATTGCAGGTAGCAGCGTGGAGGAAGGGCCAACGGACGCCTCTTAAGTATGCCTCCTGGAGGCTGCTGTGTGCTACTTTCACTCAGCTCTCATTGGCCAGAAGTTAGCCATGTGACCACATTTAGTTGCAAGCAAGTGTAGGAAATATAGTCTTTAGGTTATATGGCATTGTGCTCAGCTATACATCATTACTAAGAGGTAAGTAGAAAATGGATATTGGGAGGCAAGTGGCAGTCTCTAAAGTGTGTGGAATTTGAAGTCACTCTGGGCTCTACCACTTTCTAATTGTGTGACTTTAGACAAGTTAGTGAAACTCTCTGCCAGAATAGCTTCACATGTCAAATGAAGACAATAATTTATCAAAGTGATAGTTGTGAGGATTAAATTAGAAGATACAAATACTGCCTAACTCAGGATTTGGTACATACAATCACTCAGAATCTGAATTTATTTTCTTTATCCAACCCTTTGTATCTTTAGGTAGAACAGAAAAGAGTGCAAAGAAATCAGAAAACCTGAATCCTGCTCCTGGCTCTCCTATTGTGATATCTTGGGCAGGCCATTTCTTAAAACGGGATAATATTTGTCTGTGTTCCTCACATAATTATATGCATATTAAATGAGAAACTGTATGTGGAAAGTGTTGTAAACTGTAAATGTAGGATGTTTTAACCTCACCTGTATGCGTTGTTTTGCCTTTGTCATGCATTTGTTTATTTGCATGAAGAAGGGGAATTTATAGGTACTTGTCTATATATTGCAAAGTGTTGCCTATCCTTACTCTCATTGCTTTTTCTCTATGTAAACATTCATCTTTTACCATTAGTTTTCTCAGTCTTTTGATAAAGGAATGGTATTGAGTTTGGATAGGAGAATGGTTATTATCCCCTCATTTTTCACCCATAATCATCTATGTAGCTTTTTTTTTTAAGGCATCATAGGTGAAAGAACTCTAAGGGGAGAGCATGAGTGAATGTGTTGTGTAAACTTTGGGAGATTAGATGTTTGCTCCGTTTTTGAGGTATTCTTTCATATATAAGGAGGGACCATAGACACACTGCCTTACATTTTTCTTTTGTCACTGCTGAAGTCGCATTGACTAATGTCTAGCCTCCTGCTCCTCCTTTCATAGTGTTCCAGTTTACTTTAAAGGTAAAGTGGTACAGAAATGGCATTTTATAAACTCAGAAAACCTAAGTGATATTATTTTTATAAGTCATTGATAAAACCGATAATTTAAGTGGCATCTTAGCTGAAGGATGTGATTGTATAGGATGAAACCAAGTTTCAAAGGGTCATTCTTTTGTAATGATTTATTGAAGAGCATTATTAATGGGTAATGGGGTAACTGGATTTTAACATTATTATTTGGTAGTTTCTGAGGCTCTTTTGAGATTTCCATCTATTATTCATTCACTATCTGTGCCTTCAATAAGAGCTACAAAAGTCACCTGCCTCCCTTCCAAAACAGTAGTTCTTTCTCCCTTCTTAATGCTTTTGTCCCTCTATCACTTATTCCCACTCTTTCTCATTTCTAACAGTGATTTAGACCTACCTCTGGTGTATACTTTTGAATAGAGTAAGGGAAAGGAAAGATGGTAAAATCTCATACAAATCCCAAATTTTGTTTTAT